ACCTTTGCTTCGCTGGGCATCGTATTTTTTCCCGTCTACCCATTGCGGGCGTGCCCTCGGCGGTGGGCGCCAGGCCGAGGACCTCGTTCCACATCCTCGACCCCCCCATGAGGGCCTGACGTTCAGATGAGCAAGAGGTCATGATGATGTTGATGATGATGTTGTTGTTGGTGTTGATGATGGTGATGATGATGATGACGATGGCGACGATGATGAGGATGATGATGATGCTGCTGGTGCGTATGATGATGATGATGATGATGATGATGATGATGCTGATGCTGCTGATGATGATGATAATGATGATGATGATGATGATGCGACGTTCCAAGGTTTCCAGGGTTTCTAGGATTCCTCTGACGTCCAGGAGCTTGCCCCCTTGAGGTCTGACGTTCAACGGGGCAACAGGTCATGATACTGATGATGATGATGATGATGATGATGATGATGATGATGATGATGAGACTACGACGGCGACGATGATGATGCTGATGCGAATGATGATGACGACGATGATGATGATGATGCTGGTACTGATGATGATGATTGTGCTGGTACTGATGATGATGATGATTATGCTGATGATGATCAGACGTTCCCAGGTTCCGAAGATCTCCAGGATTCCCCTGACGTCCAGGATCTCGCCCCCTGAGGTCTGACGTTCAGAGGAGCAAGTGGTCATGATGATGCTGACGATGATGGTGATAATACGACGACGATGATGACGGTGATGACGATGATGCCCATGATCATGATGGTGATGATGAAGATGGTGAGGATGACGATTGTGATGCTGATGATGATGAGGATGATGATGATGCTGATGCTGATGCTGATGGTGAGGATGAGGATGAGGATGAGGATGGTGAACATGATACGTCCCGAGGCTTCCAGGATCTCGAGGATTTCCTGGACGTCCACGGGGTGCATGAGTGAGGGCCTCTTTGGAGATCCTGGAACGCTCCCTGAGCCAATCGCATCATGACACCATCATCGTCCAGGTCGTTGCGCAACAATGCAATGTCGTGAGAAACCACGAAGTGAGCCCCATCTCTGCGGCGCTTCTCGAGCCCGATCGACTGCGAGGGCCCTTGGGCCCGAGGCTGGGCGAGAACGTGCGAAGCGAACGAGTTGCAACGCCCTTCGGGGGTGCGCAATGCGGGCGCGATCTATAGGGGGGCAGCGAGGGCTGCAGAAAAGTTCTCAGGGCCCAAGAAGAGCACCTGTCTCCCCCCCTCCCATGTATCGCCCCTCGAATTACTTCGCGCCCAGCGTCCAGATCTCACGTCCCCGTCCTCCTGGGCTGGGATCTTTAAAGAGTCGCTTCGCCCCACCCACTCCCCGGTGGTGTTCTGACAGAGGAGCCTTCGTTCACTGCCCCGTCCTCCCTCTCCTCCTCATTCACCCCCTTTTCGTCCCCGTCTTCTTACCTCTCCCTCTTGCCCTCCCTCCTCGTTTTATCCCTCCTCCTCCTCGTCCTCCTCCTCCTCCTCCTCCTCCTCCTCCTCCTCCTCCTCGTCCTCCTCCTCCTCCCCCTCCTTCCGCTGGCAAGCCCACGCGAGCCTAGGCGGGGGATGCTGACCTTTCTTTTACGTTCGTCGCCCTCTCTTTGTCCTGCTCCTGCTCCTTATCCTCCTCCTCCTGCTCCTCCTCCTCCTCCTCCTCCTCATCATCATCATCTTCATCAAGGTTCAAGGCGGTGCCACATGGTCGGTTACGCAGGCGTCCTTGCTGAATCATGCTGTGCGGCAGCCGTTTCCCCTTCTTCCCTCATTGGTTAGGTTTCCGCCGTTCCGCCCTCCCCGGTTGGCCAGGGCAGCCGCCGCCTCCTCGTCCTCCTCTTCCTCCCCCTCCTTTTCACCTTCTATTTCATCATCACCGACAGCATCATCAGCACCAACATGAGCATTTCCACCCTCATCATCAGCAGCACATTCATGATCATTTGAATCCTCGTCTTCATCCCCGAACGAATCGTGTTCATCGTAGCAGCCACCCTCATCATCAGTACCGTCTTATTCACCATCTTCACCGTCATACGTATTGGCCGGGAAATGTGTGAACCGTACGAACGAGGTGAGGCGCTTCGGTTCCAGGATGACAAAGCGCATGGATGACTGCGGCGGGGCGGTGAAGACGCTGCGCTCCGACTATGGGAAGCAGAACGTGAAGATCGCCTGTCTCGAGATGCAGGAGGTCAGTGTAAACAGCGACTGCATGACAGACGGACGCGATATTAGTGAAGCTGGTGGAAGTTTCGCTCCCCCTCCTCGTCGCCGGCGGCGTGTTGAAGCGGAACATCAAGTGGATGCTGAAGTTCAAGTTCGCGTCGTGCAGCTCAAGTCGGCAAGGGCAGCGGCCACTTCTGCTGGCCCCTCCTCTGGCTTCGTAGGCACTTCGAGGGGCGGCGATCCCAGGCCCAACTTGTCCAGTTCGAGTGCTGGACATGGTCCTGCTCGCCCTCCCCCTCGTCGGTCTGGACCACCAGCTCGCTCCGGCGAGTGTCCAAACCCATGCAATTTGTGGGCCCGTAG